TTTAATATAATCATCATAAATAATCACTTGGTTCAGTATAAATGCATTTTAATTACATGAAATGAATTATTATGCTTTGGGTATAATTATGATTAATTATGATTATGGTTGATGACAATAATGTGTGCTCAGCAAATCAGAAGGTCAGCTTCCACCGTATCCATCTAACACAGTTCATCCAGAGTAAACAATAACTGCCAACACATGTTTTTGACGCATGACCAAAGCTTTCTTGCTGAGAGTGGGTGTGTTCTGAGAAGCTTTGTAAACTAACCTGCAACAGCTTTCACGTCAGTTCTTGAACCAACACAATCGAGGAGACAGGTTGGCCGCCCTGATCCTCTGCCAAGCTGTTCTGTCATGCTCACAAGAATAGCTAAGAATACACGTAAACTGTAACCAGCTGATGAAAAACTCCTTACAGAGTTATTGATTTCTGAGTTAAGACGAGAAACTTCTTCAGAGTTAAGCCAAACGCTCGACACTGTGTACCCGGCGACATCTCTGGACCAGAGGATCGGTTCACCCGCATCTTCTCTACCAGACCAAGAGGGGGACACCATCCTCCCTGATCTCCGGATCCACAAAGAGGGTCTCCTGTTTGGGTGAGGTAGCACACAGGAATGTGTTTGATGCTGTTTTCTCTAAGTAAACAACTGCAAAACATCATTTCCAGCCAGAACGCTTTCCTCTCTCTGATAGAAATCTTCTGAGAATTCCATTCACGCATCCAAACTCGTATTTTCAATTTAGCTTTCATCCAGCCACAGGTTTGCCTTTTAAATTGTCATCCTTGAATTGTCATTTATAATTGTCGTTCAAATCTTAAAGTTTAAAAATTGTTAGTAATTGAATTCTTAATTTTTTTAAACTTGCCTCATTATTGAAATGAAACACAGAAAGGTATAATTATTTCTGGTTATTGAAAAGCAAAGATTCCTAGCTTCCGATTCAAAATAAACTTTTGCTATTAAATTTAATTATCTTAAATTAAACAATCTTTGGATTAAAAATAGACCAAACAGGTTGGTGCATGAACTTAGATCGATTATATAAGTATCCGGGATATTTATGTATGATCTAAGCTTCATAGATTAATCTGCTTGGTCCTTCTCAGAATCTAAAACTGAATAGCAACAGTTTTGATTCTAGTATGTAGATTACAGTTTTTCTCAGTCGCTTTGGTGCGTTTCTCAGAACACTATTAACATTTGCACAGCAGTTAGTGCATTTCTCAAAACAATTAGTGCAAACTGCAAAACCTAGTGGATAGCCTGCAAAAGCACGTCACATGCTCAAAATTGATAATCCATTCCTCAAAAGCAAGTATTCATGTCAATAAAACTGTCAGTGCCATCAAAATGAAAAGTCTTGACACCATCTTTATGAACAAGATAGTCAAATGGCTTTGTCTTGTTTTCACTATGACAGTTTATAATTTCAGTGTTTTCCATTGCAAGAATATTTGGTGACACCAGAAAATGCTCAAGACAGCACTATGCCCTACTTGTACAGCCATTTGAAATGTGCAGTAAAGTTACTGTAGATGTTATGGGAGTTTTGGGAGTAACTGAGACACTGAATACGTACATTTTACATTTTTACTGTATAGAAGTGTTTGTAATTCTACATCATTGTGCAAAAGAAAAATATGCTACAGTCACTTGTTTACTGTAGAATGCATGTAAACAAAAAATCACCCTTTTGGTAGAGCTGTGCACAAATGTGAACAATATACAGTACATGTAACAGTACATACAGTATTGCACAGTACTGTAACATACAGGTACAGTAAATCATTCTGGCACATCCAGACGTTTCTGTCTGTCTGGCCACATATTTTCATCTACATCACAATGGATGTCATCACTCGCAATGCAGCGAGGAAAGTATCTCCTGGAGTGGAGAAGTATACAGAAGTATAGAAATGGTACACACTAGCTCCTGCTCAGTTCATATATGCTTGCCAATTGAGGATTCACCTCCTCATGAGTGACAGCTGAAATTCACCTGTGATCAATTGTTCAATTTAGGAGACATTTCCAGAATAAAATGATAAAGAAAGGTATAGAATTTGCTTGACAGATGACTGATATTTGACATTTGATAACTAGTTCAACAATTTTGTGTGTAATGACTCAAGCAATGAAAGTAAGACTATTAGTTTTATTGAGAGTGACTGTTCAGCATCCATAAGTATAATTCATTTTGACTGACATGACATAAGCAAATGGAAATGTCAAAAAACAGAAGAGAAATGTATGAAAGCAACTGATACATGTCCAAAATCATTTGCAGTTTGTTCAGAGAAAGGAGAAATTGCTACTGTGATGTGCACAAATGACTAAATGTTGTGGAGGTTGAACTAATAGTTATGAGAATTTTAATTCTGATCTGAGAAACGCACCAAAGCGACTGAGAAAAACTGTAATCCTACAGTCCTCATCCCAAGGCGGTCATCTTCAGGCTAAACTGGTCTAACACATCCAATGCCAACTGACTGGCCAGCTCAAATTCATGTCTACCATTAAGGGGAGTCTCCGATTGGCAGATAGAATCAGCCAGCGGGGGCTTCTCGCATTTGCCATTCATTATCATTCTGAACACTGAGGAGTAAACATCTCCTCTGACTGAAACCATCTCTTTCTCTCTGTTTTTCTTTGAGTAACACACACACACACACACACACACACACACACACACACACACACACACACACACACACACACACACACAAACGCAAACGCTGCCAGGCTTGAGCTGCGCCAGGACAGACACAGCAGAGCAGGATCAAATGTCAGTCTCCAAAACCAAAGCTGGTCACGGCCAACTTTGGTTAGTTTAAGGGAGACACAGCAGAAGTCTTGGAGATTACATGCTCCTGAGAAGTGTGTGTGAACAAACCCTACCGGTGTGGGACCCATATGATGCCATCCGGAATGGGCCAAACTTGAAAGTGGCAAAAGAGTGTCCAGGTGGCAAAAAGGGCAGTAAAGTAGAGACATCTCCCGAGGTAAAACAAATAAGACACACTGATATTCTGCTACAGTTCCAGAAATTGAGCTGCTGGAAACTGGATGAAAGTAATTTCCTGGACTCAGTCTCAGTTTAGCCTCAGAACATCCACGAATAACGAATGGTACCTAATCATCCTCCCAGAGGAGCTCCTCTAACCATTCAAGAACAGTGTGCTGATGGCCAATGTCTTTTCCAGCATAATGGTGTGCCGAGCCAGAAGGATAAATACAGAAGTATCAGGAAACAGCAAAGTCCTTAGACATTAACCCCTTTAGAACTTAATGTCAATCCTCAAGGGGCAGGTGGAAAAACAAAAACCCGTAAATTCTGAAGAACTCCAAAAATTCATGACGAATGAGCTGGCTTCTGCCTGGGTTTGGACCAAAACTTGAATATCAGGGTAAAACATAAAAAGAACAAATACCACAAATATTGAGTCTTTGCAAACACTTAAAAGAACTGTAAGGAAATTTAACAACCAATACATGTACAGAAATGTAAAATTTCTTCCTCATACATTATCCTGCAATGCCCTGGGCCTGTAGAATGATCCCTGGCATTTGTGCTGTGATTGCACAGAAAAAGAGCATGTTCGGGGTTGAATCTGTTTCCCCAGTGCCTTCCAGACGCAGTGTAATGCTTGATGACATCATGAGCATTCACTCTCAGGCATAGCCCATAGCATTTCTGTAGCTTAGTGGCAGAGCAAGAGGCAGTGTTGCCAACTCAGCAACTTTGTCGCCATTCCTAACAACTTTTCAACCCCCCTCAAAAACGTATTTTTCGAAAAAGTGCCTAGCGTTAAATTTAGTGACATTTCTGAGGACCCTTTTCTACTTTCTGTAGAACTTTCTTGTAGATATTCCCTACAGATTAGCAACAAAGAAACAATTTGCGCTCTGAACCGTTCTTCCGGGAGCAAGGAAAGAGAATGATAATCTGACATGTGCATGAGGACTGACCAATCACAAACCTTTCTTGGCTGGGCCGACGAGAAGGGTACAGCTGCAGAGCTGGATACCGCCGATTTACACCTGCTGCTGCTGCAGATTCACACTTCTACTGGAGACAGCACAGGCCTCAACCTGCAGTCTCCGGGTCGGCAGCCATCAGGCACTTTGGTCCTTCCTACATTTGGCCAGTAAAGTCATCGGAAGTTTGAACTACCATCCCGTTAACACACACAGCTCTGTGGCTCATCTGAATTTCCACCAGTAACATGAGGATGGTTATATCATAAGACACCTGCTCCCAGTTGCACCAGTGTGTGTCGTTATCACAATTTAGATGGAGAAAAAAATACAACAGGGTGGAAAAGGGGAAAAAGCCGCGGTTCCACAAAGTGCTGGTAATGCACAAATGTGACAGAGAGTCTGTGAGAATGAGGAGAGCAGGAGATCTGACCTATGCCACTTTATTTATACTTTTAGAATTTATTTTACAGATCAAAGCTATTTGGGCCATTTTAATCATACTAATTAATCATTTTTAATAATAAAATATTAATGGGGGAAAAGGGTTGATACTTTTAAGCAAGCCTGGGGCTTTCCATATATGGCTGCTTGTCTAGCGTGTCTACATCGGACTACATTGTTGGTCTACTCTATTAGATTTGTGTAGAACAGCCTAAACCCATACATTGCACCAGTACAGGACTGACTCAGCTGTTGCTTTTGATCAGGAGTGTGCACGTACCTCCTGCACGAGCTTACTATTGAGGCTTCAGTTACGCGTTTGGCCTGGATAAAAATGTCAAACTCCTTGTAGTCCGTTTAACGGATCTGTCAAAGCCTTTGAAACTTTTAAAACACTTGTAGCTACACCCATGTAACTGTATTCCCATCTGACAAAACGATCTAAAGACACAGAAGCAGCAAACTTTGTAAAATCCAGTTTTTGTGCCGTTCCAAAACTTTTGCCTTATAGACATCCCAACTGTGCATAATAAAAGACAAATGGTGTTAAAATCACAGTTTAGAAAATCCGAGGAAAGAAAATTTTATTGAAGTTTCTCCTCATTAAACAACATGTCTGTGTGTGTAAACCACAACAAAACCAGTGATTGTAGACATTCTAGCAAAATAAGAATCCAAATTTTTTAAGAATTTTATAAAAGCCATACATCTAACTTCATCTAGTTTACAACATTCATGTTTCTATTGCTGGTTTAAAGAACTCTGCAAAGTCTAAACCAAACATACTGTTATTTCAACGTACAAAAATTAAATCATAGCCGATACAACATTACAGGGGTATTTCTAACATTATCCCATAGACAATAGTTCAGTTCTAAATGTAATTTATCAGCTTACATTTGGGTTGATTAACAAATTAGTGTGTATATATATGTGTATAAATATATGTGTGTGTGTATATATATATATATATATATATATATATATATATATATATATATATATATATATATATATATATATATATATATATATATATATATATATATATATATAAATGTCAGTGCACAACAGTCAACAGTGAAACTGTTTTACAATAAAAAGAACAATTTGAGTCTCTTTAACAGTTCGGCCAGAGAAACGTCTCAAAAACTGTTTGGATTTCAGCGTTTTACTTTATGTCTGCACACTGAATCCGTGATGATGCTCATGTGGTGCTCATCAAAGTAAAAATAAAGCACAGTGACTACCAAGTTCAGGAAGCTTATCAAATCCGTTACACTGAGTGTCAAAACAAGTGGGAAAAAAAAGAAAAGTAGAATATTAATTTAGAGATCTGAAAGTGTCTCATTGGTTGCTGCAGTCTAAGAGCATCAAAGAAAGAAATGATCATTACAGAAGAATAAGATGCAAAAAAAAAATATTGGTTCACTTTACACAAAGAAGCAAGTATGTGTATTTGTGCTACTGAAACAATCCTGTCCATGTACTCCTCACCGGAAAGCTTCTCTACCACATGTAATAGCTACGTGTTGTGTCCACTTGGCTAGGTTTGGCCTCTGAGGCGCCTTCCTTCTCCTTCTCACTGTCTGCCTCCCACAAGTTAATAAGAGGCGGGTACAGCTCATTCAGCGGTATGGATGAGGTTTTCTGCATATACTTTTTGAGAGAGTGGTGATAGTTTTTCCTCTTCCACCTCTTAGCCATGTACACACCGAGTAAAATCAAGATGATGATTGCAAACATGGTTCCCATGATGGCTGCTAAAGCGGTGTTAATCCCTTGGTCAGATATTTCCACTGCGAAGGGTGCCTGCTTTGTCGTCACATTCACACAAGACTTTTGCGTTTGTTGGTGGATGTTGGAGACAGTGAGGCACACCTCATACTCAGTTGCTGGTTGTAGATGAGTGAGGTTGTACTCGTGGACATCCACCGGAACCCTGGCAGTGTAGGTAATATGTGGGTTATCAATTTTCATAGTTGCGGATGACCACTTGAGGTTAGAGGACATTACATTTGAGTTTATTTTCCAGGAGACAAGGATGGAGTGAGATTCTGTTTGTTTGACATAGATCTTCATGAGCTGTGTGCTGTCCAACAGGGTGCCATTCACCTTTATGGCTGTTACTCTCGTGTCTACCCCTTCTGAGTTTTGAGCTACACAGGTGTATCTGCCAGAGTCCTCAACGTGGATATGAGAAATTCTTAACGTTCCCTCTTTGTTGAGGCTGTACTTGTCAGATACAGTTTCAACCATTATCTTGTTTCCCATTGGTGTCACCCAATAAATCTCAGGCTCAGGCTGGGAGATGGCTCTGCAGTCCAAGTCCAACGTCATGCCAATTTCCAAACTGAGGTGGCTAGGGAATGTATCATGAGAAATAATTGGCAGGCACTGATTTGCTAACTTTTTCGGCAAGACTTCGCGCACACTCATCCCCCTGACCTCTGGTGGCATTGCACAAAGCATAGCCAAGGGTTCCATGAATCGGACAGTGGTTTTGTTGGAGCTCATCCACTGGATAACACAGTCACAGCGCAGTGGGTTGCTATGGATGCTAATCTCACGCAAATTTGGGAGAGAGTCCACGGTAGACTGATAAAGGGCATTAAGTGCATTGTTATTCAGCATTAGACTCTCTAAAGCTGGCACATCATGAAAGGCCTGACGGCTGATAAAAGAGAATTTTGGATTGTTTGTAGCCTCCAGCTTCGTGAGCTCGGGAAGGTTATCCAAAGCATAACGATCAATGGAAACCAGCTCCCCCATGTTGTTAACACCCAGCTCCTTCAGTCTGAGCATGTTTTTGAAATCCCCCTCCTGAATCTTGTGCACAGGATTTTTGTTTAAATCTAAAAATTTTAGGTTGGGTAGTTTCTGAAAGGCCTTTTGAGGTACTTGGACCAGCTTGTTGTCATAGAATGAGAGGCTTTCAAGATTGTCAAGTCCTACAAAGGCATTGCTAGGGACGTCTTTTAAATCCATCCCAGCTAAAACCAAGCTCCTCAGATTACCCAGTGGCTTGAAATTAAAGTCCATAATTCCATCAACACGGTTCTCTCCAATCATAAGGATCTCCAGGTTGGGAGTTGATTTAAACCACTGGCTGTTGATAGTTTTGAGCTTGTTGGAGTTGAGGTGAAGCCTGAGTAAGCTCTGAAGTCCAGAAAAAGCATTGGCAGAAATTATGTTGATCTGATTGTGGTTGATGTAGAGTTCCTGCAAGTTGCTTAGATCCTGTAGACAGTAATCTGGCATTTCTGTGATCTGGTTCTCCTCTAGATGTAGCGTGGTGAGCTGGGACATGTTGGTGAGACCAACATCTCGAATTGTGCTGAAGTTGTTTTGGGAAAGGTCCAGTTCTGTTAGGTTGAAGAGCTGCTCTAGCTCCTCACTGGTTCTGGCAATGTAGTTGCTTTGTAATAGGAGCACCTGGGTTTCACTGGACAGGTTCTCCGGGATCCGTGTTAAGCGAAGGTCATTGCAGTCCACAGTAATGGCTTCTCTGTATGTGGACTGAGGGGTAAACCAAGGTCGGACCTCACACACACACAGCTGGGGGCACTCATTGCTCTGGACATATGATACTCCTATAGATACCAGCAGCAGCCCAGCAAGCACCTGAGGAGGGCTGTTTAACCTCCATCTAGCCATGCTGGGAATGTTCAGGAGGGTGGCCAAAGGATTTTAGAAAAATGTGTGCAAAGGACATCAACCAGACTTTCCACCAATTATGCCTTCAGTTCCATGAAATCAGATCCGGCAGAGTCCAGGTGAGGAGTGAAGCAAAGGTTCCTGGTGTTAAAGGATTATCTGGGAAAAAAAGAAAGAAACATTTTTTAGAATAACCTTTTTCACTTGGTTAATTTCAACTTAGTTTATTTACAAAGTACTAGTTCAAAAAGTCAGGTCCCATTAATAATCATCACACGCTGGTGAAATTCCACATTTGACCCATTCCCATGGGGAGCAGTGAGCAGGAACTATTTGGTGGTTTAACCCGCCAATCCAACCCTTTAAGCTGAGTGTCAAGCAAGGAGGCATTGGGTTCCATGTTTAAAATCTTTGGTATGACCGGACCAGGATTTGAACCCTGATCTCCCACTCCCAGGGCAGACGCTCTACCACAGAGACCACTTAGAAGATTAGGGTTATCTTAAAGCACTATACAAAAGCAACAAGTCTAATTATTTTCAGATCCAAGCCAGTTTTTTCAGGGAATTCCGTTCAATAAAAAAAAACTCATTCAGCACATTACAAAATGTTAATTAGTCAAATTGGCCTGAAGGGAACTAGCAAGTGCACTTCAGAGCACTCCCCCATTTTGAGCAGCGTAGTACAAAAGATGACATAAAAAAAATCAAGAGGAGTTTTGTTCACGACCCCAAAAAAAAGCATCTTGACTATGTTTCAAAGTGAAAGTGTCCTACAGATATTGGTTTGTGGTAAGGTTGGAGAATAAATCAAAACAATTATCGTTATCGAAATTTCTGACTCTTATCTAGATACTTTTTCCCATTTCAATATATCTGATAATAAAAAATGTGTGTAGTTTAGCAGCAGTCATGTCCCTTTAAGAAGCTGTACCACCTTGAGTCACGTAAAAACTCAAGACAATACATGTGACAGCCCCATCTAGTGGACATCTTTTGTGTCTGCGCATACCTGTAGTTATCGTCCATTTATCGTTATCGTGGTGAAATCCTCAATATTTCGTGATAATGATTTTAGGCCATATCGCCCAGCCGTAGATTGTGGTGAACATTTTCCTTCTGGAATCATTCATGTGTTTTAGGCTGTAGTATGTTGCTAATAACGTTACTGAGTTCTGTCACATTAATACCCTAACAATTGTTTAGTCTTTTCTCATTTACTAGTTCTTCATAGTTTTCTTCATAAATGATGTTTCTCATAAATGAAACAGTTAAACAGACAGACAATAACAACCACTTCTGTTCCATCCTTGTGAGACTGAGTTATGTGCATCATCAACAGTACTGAGAAAATGCAAGTTCAGCTCATTACAACACACACACACACACACACACACACACACACACACACACACACACACACACACACACACACACACACACACACACACACACACACACACACACACACACACACATCTTTGCTCTGAACTACTTGGAAAGAGATCAAATTCCACTGAGGGCTTTCATCTATCCACCAGGCCCATAAGGACTCCATCATTAGCTCCTCGGAACATCATTAAACATTATGAAACACTAAAACGCACCATGCCTCAAAGAAACAACAACAAAAAAAAAGTTTAACTTAATTTTTTATGCAACTTCCTCAGCAATCTGAATTTAGAGCAAACATGAATAGAAAGTTTGCTGCAGACCAGTTTTTTCCCCCTCTGAATCAATGGAAATAGATGGAAAAGTCAGAACTTTTTGCTGGGTTCTTCAACAGTAAGAAGGCTTATAACTATAAATGAGATCTGGGGGGAGGACAGTGATGAATGAAGGAGGATAAGAAACACTGAAACAGAGTAGCCCAAATGGTTCATGAAGTAGATGATAGTAAGTGGTGTCTATCTAGTAGACGCGTTTGTTTATACAGCACAGTCAATCTTGTTACTGTAATTTAGGATGATCTATGATAATCACAATTGCAAGTGCCAATCTACTTGATAAGGTTAGATACTTTTAATGTAATCTAAACTGAAATAATTAGTTAATACTACTGAAAACTACTGGATTAGTTATTTTTCATGTGCACAAGACACCAGAAAGAGTACTGACCTAAAGTATTCAACTACTGAGATCATTCAGTGCCAGTGCTGACTAATGTGCTCCAGTACATCTAATTTTATACCCAGTTTCAAACTTTTTACTGCATAACACCACATCTCAAAAACTTGCTTGCATGAAGTGTCAATGTCAACACCAAGACGATATCACCCAAAGTACATTGGTACAACACCTTGTATGGAAGCTAATCATCACCACATGCAGTAATTATCCACTCCCTATTGATATAATACAGTTTTGGGGTAAGGTGATACATGATTACCGTACTTACATTATGATTCTTACTTTTTATAAAACAGACTTGCAAACGACAAACCACATGCACATTAAGGTCATTAAAGGAATCCTAGAATTTAGAACCAAATTTACCTTGCTGTTGTTGAATTTCATCTAATGTATACCAAACAGATTGTGCCATCTCCGACCCATTTTCATAGGTAGATTAGTGGTGTTGTCATGGCAATGGGGGAAACGTTCCTTTTTGAGAAAATCAAATTGAACACGTCAACCACAAGACACACCCCATTAAATCTGCCTGTCCCAACCCACTTCAGCGTTATCAACTTGACGCTGAGTTAGCTACTGCTAACACTAGCCCGAGCTGCTAACGCCCTTGTTGGACAAGAATAAAATAACAAAGGAGAATGTTGGAGCACCAGTCACGATCCAGGATTTACTGGGAATGTCCAGTCTGAATGAATGGCAGATAACTCCACAGCTTGTGATCTTTGTCACTTCTTCCTTCACTCATCCACACTGTCCTCACTTCAACTAAAAGCTTTTGTTATTCTTGCTAATCGGACATTTTCTTTATGTTGAAATGGAACATTTTGGCCTAAAATTAAAATGTAGAATAAATGTTAAACTAAATAGATTATTGACAAAAAAAATGGCTACATCGTTCCCATTATAATGCACGATGAGACGACTGATGGTTTACCTCAAAGGCTCTATGATGCTGTATGCAGCTAGAAACTCTGTGTACACTATCTGGATAACTCAGAACACATCTACTTTGTATTCAACCATGTAGTTTGGACCGAAATTTTTGCAGTAGCTCAGGCTAGCATTATTCTGCAGTTGGAACGCCACAATGTGTTGCATTTCTGCCAGCAAAATTTATATATCGTGGATGTTAAAGTGAGTTGGGGCCATTAACATGTTTACTATGGACATGTTTACTATGGACAAATACCTATTGGGTTTGAGTCATATGGATTTGATGAAAAATGGGAGGTTCCCACCACTTCCATTTTGGCCATGTCACACGTCTTGTCACTCCCAGACAATCCAAAATTGGGAAAAGAGGTGGAGCTGAGGATGGGGCTGTTACGGTTAGAACAGGGTTGGAACAAATATACCAGTGTAGCTACTAGCTAACTTAGCTAACCCAAGAAGCTAAGAAGGAGCTCCAAGGTAGCCGACCCACGTGGCTTTTGTGCAAGGTTGTAGTCATGTTGGTTGCCTGTGGAGCAATACTGTTAAAATACAAGCCTCAGACCGCTGCGATCAGAGCCAGACACCCTGGCTACTTACGTGAGGTCATGCTCCACCTCGGTCAGAGATCAGCAGCAAATTAGCTACATGCTAACTCAAGCTAACTGTGCATTTTTGGGAACTTTTAGCAAGAGAAATGCAGTAAAGTGACTCTAAAATTAACTTGGTGAGCAGCAGTTTCTCTAAAATTCCTCAGAGAGTTCCACAGGCAAGCAGCACAACTACACCCTGGCATGAAAACCAAGCAGGTGCGCGTCTTTTCCCCCTTGGGAGACAGGAGCATGCCACCTGTGTAAAGCAGCTGTTCCCGTCCGAGAGAAGGAGAGGTTGGGCGGCCACCTCGCTGGTCTGCCTCCGAAAGATGAAACTGCAGATTCACAGATCTCTGATTGCAGGACTGCTGCTGTTAAAGGGAGAGGCACTTTACCAAAACTCGGAAAACCTCTTTGCAGCTGCGGCCTCGTGAATCGCTGTCCCCAAAGCCTCTGCTAGTTAGCCTCATTCATCTTACGAGTTTCTGTACCCGCCAGCCAGCCCCCACCAACACATTTCATATTTCAACCCATCTTTGACCAAGCAGTCTTATATTAATGCACAGCATCCTCCTTTCAACCAGCAAAATACAGTACAGAAATATAATTTTACTGCTAAAAATGAGGCCGAACCTGCTTGGATGATCTGTTAGTGTGGCCAATACCCCAGCTTGACTTCTTTGTCCAAATAATTTCATGATTAACATCCAAACACGAACACACAGAGGACACAACTAAAGTCCAGAGAGTGGAAATGGCCGTCATCTATTAACGTGAGGCCGAGGCTGAGGCCTTTCCCCCGGAGCTCCTAGTGCTATAGCTCTGACGTGGCTTTGATGCTCATGAATTATTTATAATTTCAAGTATTTAATTACACTTAAACAGAAGAGTTATTCCCCCCCCCCCCCCCCCAGAATCCCACAAATGTAAACAATCTAATAAACCTACAATAGTATTTTTGAACCAAGCTGCAAACATGTTTATTTCTGCTGTGAAATTGGCATTTTTAACATGGGAGTCAGTGGGAACTGGCTCTGTTTTGGAGACAACCCTTAATGGGTGAGGGTGGAACTGCAATTTTTTACACTTCCATGTTAGGAGCAAATCCAGTGGCCTTAACAATTTAATTTAAGGGTGTGTGTCTATGTGTATGATATGTTATACAAGCTTTTCTTAGGCCAAAAATAATTCTCCATGGCCAATACTAAATTGCTAATTTGCAAATGAAAGCTGGCCAGAGATGGCAGACTCTTTGGTATGCTACATTACACATTGTGTTACAAAACGACTGACATAAAAACCATAAAGCGTTAGCATTGTCTATCCTTTACCGATTAATAAAAAATGTTTCGGTTGGATCCAGACACTCCTAATCAGCATCATTTCATTATTGAAATCATGTTCACTTCTATACAACCAGAGCTATTTCTATATCTGATTCAACAGAGATGCTGTTTTACTGTTTGGTACAGTTGTCGTTTTCCCACATAAATGCCAGTTACCT